TTACAGTAAAGAGCTGGGACATGGACTGGAATGTTAATGTCCATCTGAGAGTAACTGATATATGGGAAAACTGACCAAGTTCAGATATTCAACCTTGTGAGTTCATGAGGTGATTTGAAAGTTCAGGACAGGGCCTTCAAGCACCTGTTACATCATTCCCCATCTATCAAAGAAGTGTCCCACTTCTCAATCAAAATTAAATAAAATACAATATTTCTATTCTAAAATGAAAGTAAATTAATAATGTTTAACACTTAAAACAATAATGATTAGCATATTAACTACTGTATTGTATCGTTTAAAAGATGTTCATACACTGAATTCTTAAAACGTTAGCATAATGAAAAATATAAACTTAACATAATGAAAAGAAAAAAAAATATGTAACTTGATTATCAACTACAAGCATAACATAGGCCTAATTTGGATGGCATACTGTATGTCATCATATAGTAATAACAATGTTTATCAACATTATGATTAAATAGTTTAACATCTATTAAGCAAAATCACTGTGATATCCTACACATAACATTCAGTAGTATTGTGAACCATCAATTTCAAATCGGAATTTAGAAAGTAGAGAAAACGTAGGATTCAAACAGTTTAAATGTAAATGTAGTAAATTATTGTAGGCTGGCATAGGGTATAAAAATGAATTTCATAGGTGAAACGCGCAAAGCAATGTGTTGGTTTTAATGTATAGGCATGGTCCCAGAGAGCGTATAAAGTAATCAACATAAATACAGAGAAAAATCAAAATCATAAACATTTAATATTAATCGCGAATCTACAAATGTTAAATTCCTTATTGTCGCCGGTAATTTAAACCCATAGACTTAACAGTCATGATCAGGTACGACATACTGACAGGAGAAACATCGAATGTAGAAAGGCAAAAATATAGTTTTTTAAAAACAAGAACAGAGTACTGAATACAATATAGTATCAGTCATACAATGTACCTGATCGCAGGTCATTTTAATCCCTAGACAAAAGTCATGATCAGGAACGATCCTTAGTGGAATCATCGTATGTTAAATAGGTATGATGAACAGAACACAGTGAAGTGTGAATCTATTCAAGACACCATTACATATAAATATACACATATTTCACACAATCAACAATCAAAGAACGAATGAAAGTATATACCCAGAGACCATTGATACAATGTCACTGTGCTAAAGTGCTTGTTATACTATGAAAGAATGGAAGAAGTAATAGAGAAAAGAATTGGGCGGTAGACAGAGTAAACCTCTCACATTTACTCTGTTTAATAATGTCATTATAACTAATCGAAATTATAACACAAGTTATGTGATCAAGATGCAAATGCGTGAGGTGAAAATTTTCCTAACAATGCTTACATAATTACTAAAGTAAATAAAAAGTAAAATATATATGTAAAAATGATCAAATATAAATCTTAACACTAAAATCTAACCTGTTTAACTAATTTTCGTATCTCACAGCTGTTCTTCCATATCGTGTGGTAATGGTTTGTTTTATGAATGGCTTTAATCGATCATGATGGACACGGCGAGGGGAATGTTGGCCTGTGTTAATGTTCTGTAGCTTGTAGGTTTTTTCTCCCTCATCCACTTTGGTTATCCGATACGGTCCAATCCATTTTGGGGCCAATTTCCTCCTAGCATTAGCTGGATCATCTACCCAAACTTTATCTTATCGTAGTTTAGTTTCTGTCTGTGTTTTTGTTTTTGACTATTTGTTTGCGCCATGTCATATGCACTTTTAAGGCGTTGAGATAATTGATTAACGTATGCTGACTGTGATTGAAAATTAACATGGGTTGAAGCTGGTGAAGGAATGTGTTGTGGTAATCGGACCTGACGTCCATGTGCTAAAAAGAATGGGCTAAAGCCAATAGTGCTGTGGGGCATTGAATTATAAGATAGTTCTAGGGGGCTGAGAAGCATGTCCCACTCGGAACCCGAGTTATATAATTGTTTAGAAAGCTCCATTTTCAGAGTTTTGTTGAAGCGTTCAACCATACCATCTGATTGGGGATGATAAGGAGTAGTACGTGTCTTAGTTATACCTAAGTATTTACAAATATCATGAAATAATATTGATTCGAATTGGGGGCCTTGATCTGTGTGTATGAATTCTGGAATACCATGGCGTTTGATAAAGTCATCACAAAAATGGCGGGATACAGTTTCTGCTCTCTGATCAGTTAATGCATAAAGGGAAACATATTTTGTAAAATAGTCGGCGATGACCAGGACATACCGATTGCCTTTAACTGTCAAAGGGAGTTCAGTAATGTCTGCCGCTACAATTTGAAAGGGGCGGGTTGCAGTAATCGTGCCCAATGGAGCACGACGTTTGGGGATGCTAGTTCGTCGAGTTTGACATGGGATGCATTCCTTACAAAACTTGTCGACATCACTGGCCATACCTGGCCAAAAACAACATTGTTGGAGGGATTGTAATGTTTTCTCGTATCCATAATGTCCTGAAAACTTGGAGCCATGGAAATGCGAAAGTATATCGGGACGTAATATCGGTGGGATAACAGTCTGGAGGGACATATCGTCGGAAATAGCATTTGGGCATTCCCTAACCAATCTACCGTCTAAAATACTAAGGTATGGGAATTCCTTACTAAGTTTGTTAAGCTCAACAGAAGTCTTTCCCAATTTACGTGGTATTTTACCCATTGTAACGTAACGTTTAATTTTGCTAATATCAGGATCGTTGTTCTGTTCTTCAATTACCTTTGCATTGGTTAGAGATGGATCCATTAAGTCTACAAAGAGAACAGATGGTGCGGACTGGGTAGGAACTAACTCTGGTATTCTAGACAGGGCATCTGCATTCTGATGTTTCCTACCTGACTTATGCTGTATAGTCCAATCAAATGTGTCAAGCTCAAGGGCCCATCTACTTCGACGACCTACAAGGTCGGTATCTAACTTCAGAGATTTAGAATTAAGTAAGGGTTTGTGGTCAGTTATAATAGTAAACGGGTAATCACGTAGATAATGGCGGAAATGACGCACACTCCAGACAATTGCAAATAATTCTCTGTCGTATGTTGACCAGCGTCGATCGGCTTGACTTAAGGTATGGCTTGCATATGCCACAACTTTTTCAAATCCATTTTGTACTTAGGCTAGAACTGACCCTATAGCTAAATCGGAAGCATCAGTGAAAAGGATGAAGGGCTTGGTGAAGTCCGGGTAAGCAATGATTGGGGGGTTAAGTAATTTTTGTTTTAGAGTCTCAAAGGCTGCAGAACATGCTTCAGACCAAATGAAAGGGATAGATTTCTTAGTCAGGTGTTGTATGGGGTGGATAATCGTTGCAAAATCCTTAATGAAACGGCGATAATAGGAGCAAAGGCCGATAAAACCTCGGACCTGCCTTACATTTGTTGGAATGGGCCAATTGTTAACTTTCTCCAGATTGGAGGGGTCTGGTTCTATTCCATGTTCTGAGATAATATGACCCAAATACCTAACCTGCTCTTGGAATAGGTGACATTTGTCAGGTCTAAGTTTCAACCCAGCCTGCTGTAGGCGTGCAAAAACCTCTTGTAGGTTAGAAAGGTTTTCTTCAAACGTTCGACCAAAAACAATCAAGTCGTCTAAGTAAACCATAACTTTTGTCCATAAAAGACCATGAAGG